CCCCAAAACCCCAAAACCCCAAAACCCCAATTAGCATAGTTAGTATTGAATCTAAAATAATTGTGATGATAACTTTATCAAAGATGAATATGTAAAGTCCAGCTTAGTCAAGTCTACTAAGGTAAAAATGATGAAGGCGGTATCATCTTTTTATTCGAGCTGTTCATCAACTTGACACATGATTCTGAATCGATACGATTAGTAGTGTTCACATTCGAGACTTGCTTTCGAAAACATGATTTACTCCCTTCTGATGGTGTAGATAAGGAAGAATATGGAAGCCTCTTGATATTAGTGACTCTAGAGTGTTGGGGTTTATTTGAATAATGATGAAGAATTTAATCCTAACTCAATTTGTTTGTCTTCCTCTTGATTCTTTTCTTCATCCATTTCTTCATCTATTTCTTCATGTTTATATTGTGATTCTCTATTTGTTTCTAATCTTAGATCAATGCTTCTTGAAATGCATTCAATATTTATCTTGTCTCTATCCATAAGGTATGACACATAAAGTTTCAGCTCCTGAAGGGATCGAGCTACATTTACAATGTCTAACTCTTTTTCGATTACTCCACTTAATTTACTTTTTCTGAGAGTTTTTGAAATACTTTTTAGTCGGTTCTTAGCTTGCTTAACATAGTGCTGGTGATCATTGCTGATCGAGTTTCTGCTTTGAATAGCATTCAATGGCTGAGGTTCAGCCGAGACCTTGTTGGAGGGTTCAAAGGAACCAAGGAAGCCATACCTAGCTTTTCTCTTGTTTTTCCTTGATTTTCTTGAGTCATATACATTGGCTGGATATGAAAACCATTCTTCATTTTTGTTGATGGTTTTTTCTATTTGTTTGACATTTTTCTTAAATAAAAATTTTAATACAATTTTTAACAAAAGCGAAAGTGTCAAAGACAGAATTTCAAACAGGCCTCCGACCTGTCCTAAAACCTCAAGAAAGCTAATAACAGTGGTTTCATAAGTCTGAACAAAATCATTGACATTAAATACTATGGCAGCCATTGTATGATTATCAGATCTTGTTTGAGATCTATATACACAACTGTCAATATCTAAGAACTCTCCATAAGTACTTCCGGTGATAATTGAGTGCCAATCATTCACAACGTATTTATGACGACTCAGAGAGCAGTGAGCCATTGAAGTATCTCCTTGAGATAAGACCAAGCTAATATTATCATGCACATATGTTTTAACTGGGTTCAGAGGATCAGAGTCGTCAAAATATTTACTAATTATAGTGAGATGCAGTCCACTATAAAAGCGTAGTAAATTGTAATCGGGACCGGTTCAAATATCATTAATACAAGGTATAGCATTAATTCCAAAACTAAAACTTCTACCTTTGTGGCTTTCTCTTTGAACAAGCTTCATCAAGTCATTTCTTTTAAATCAATAGAATGTAAACCCTTTCCTGTAATTCATGCTAGGGTCTTCATAATCGATTGGGAAATTAGTTTCATTTCATTTTTCAAGTTCAATTGAACTAATGGGCTGCTGAATCATCTCTTCTCCATAAGGAGTATTCTCTACAAGACTCAAAGTGACCATTCCAAGCCCTGCTTCAATCATATCAAAGTTATCAGACAGATTCCCAATCCATGAAACTCCAATGTAGATGCCTTCTTGGTTTAGAGTTATATCAATGGGATCTTTAGCAATGTCAGTTCTGATTCTGTTGATGTTCGTCTGAATCAAAGTCCTGTTTAGCATCTGTGAAAGTAAAGAGATTCCATAATATGATCAGATCGCTATTATCATGAGTGAAGCCATTGCTCCAAGCCAGGTTGTGAAGCCTTTCTTCTTCTTAAAGTTTAGTGTAAACTTTAGTGAGAAGATATCAAAGGGTTCGAGTACTTTGAAAATGGATCCTAAAAAACAGTCCATATTACTAATTTATTTAATAATCCAATTTGTACTCTTAAGTACGGGGTTTTGGGGTTTTGGGGTTTTGGGGTTTTGGGG